CCTATAATATCTTTTGTGGCCATTAATTTCTTTTATTTATAGTAGAGACGCGGTCTCACTCCATGTTTTTTTTTTTTTTTCTCTTGCTCAGGTGGTTCGACTCCGTCGTTAGGATCCTCCGCCTCGCCTCAGGCTAGGATCACCACGCGTGAGCGCAGCAGCTGCCCTTCCATTGTGTTCTGACATTGTTCTTGGTTCAACTACTTGGTTATCTACTTTATAATTCATGGCTTTGCTGTAAGGTGTTTCCATCTGTTTTTGCTTGAGGACAGGAATCTGCTCTTCGTTACTGGTATCCCAAAGTATCAGTGTATCTGTATATACTTCGTGCTCAGAAAATACAGCATAAAATTAAACGCAGACACCATGTTATGGGTAATGTATAGTTAATAGCTGTTAAATAGACACTATCCATTATTAGCCACATACTCCAAATCACCTTTTATATTCTATTATTTACATTCCATTTTACAGATGAGAATGAAAGTTTAATTATTATTTAATTTTTGAGGCAGAGTCTCACTTGTTGCCGGGCTAGAGTGCGTGGTGTCACCCTGGCTGCCAGCAACCCTCCAACTCCCTGGCCCTCAAGCGATTCTGCCTCAGGAGTAGCTGGGACTCAGCCATGCCACCATGCCGGGCTAATTTTCTATCAATATTATCCAGTTGGCCAATTAATTCTTTCTATTTAGTAGAGAGGGGGGGTCTCCGCTCTTGCTCAGGCTGGAATCCGAACCTGACCTTGAAGCGATCCTCTCCCTCGGCCTCCACCCAGAGTGCAGATGACAGGTGTTTATAGCACTTATATGGCTGTGACATTGCTGGTTCCTGGGCTAAGAATTTAAGTTCCTGAGAGCTGATAATTCCCAGAGAACCGGGGTTAGAGCCTCTGAATAAAACGGCAGTTGGGAAGACCCCCAGATTTCCATAGGTTGCAGAATCCTGAGGGTTTATACGCGGCTGCACACACGCCATTGTAACAACGGTTGCTTTTCAATGCAAGGCAAGTGAGAACCACAGACAGCCTGAGCCGAAGATGAAGGACTTGCCGGAAAAACACCCTCAGCCGACCCGTGCACGGCTCAGCGAAATTGTTATAGGAAGCAAGTGAAGTATCTATGTCCGGGAGGGAACAGAAGGAGTCGTCCTTTGTAGGGTCTACACTCCACACAGGTACTGTTGGTTCCATGCCTTGAACTGCATATCATGCACCTTATGACAAAACTGTTTACATAAACATGAACGATGTTCTAGAAAGAAGTAAAAAGAAAAAAAAAAAAAAGGACCACGTTAAAATGTCTGTTCCTCCTCCAGGCAGAACTTGAAAAATAAACAATGAACAGGGAAAGCAATATAGGTAACCTTAACAATTTGTAGCCATAATACGCTGGAAAAATAAAAAATAATAAATAGGTAATACAAATAAATAAAAATAAATCAATAAAGCAATGAACAGGGGAAAAAATGTATTCAGGCTACTGACGCTTTGAAGTCAGGATTAATCGTTTCATGTTGGAGAAACAGCATTCTTGGGAAGCGTGGAAAACGCCCAAATGCACGGTTTGTACATGAAAGAAAAAGGCCATTTCCTCTTCTAGAAGAAATCTTTCATATGAAGGAGTAAATCTTAAAAAATGTGCAATAATCCAGGCTGGCAATTCACCAGGGAGGGCCGATTTGGGAGCCCCGAGTCAGGAAGTTCGAGACGCAGCCTGAGCAACATAGTGAGACCCCCCTCTCGACCCCAATCTCGGGAAATAAAATATGAAAAATAATAAAAATAGCCCAGGTGAGGCCAGGCGGCCGGGCACGCCTGTCATCCTAGCACTCGGGAGGCTGAGGCGGGAGCGCATCAAAGGTCAGGGCTCGAGACCTGCTGACAAGAAAGGACGACACCCGTCCGACTAAAAATAGAAAGAAATTAACTGGAACTAAATATAGAAAAAATAGCCGACCATGGTGGCCGCATGCCTGTATCCCAGCTTACTCGGGAGGCTGAGGTAGGAGATCGTTGAGCCAGGAAGTTTGAGGTTGCTCGTGAGTGCAGGCTCGACAACACACACTCTACGCCGGGCCCAACCAGGTGAGAGCTCTGCTGCCCAAAAAAAACAAACAAAAACATAGTGAGGTGGACCATCCTGAGTCCCAGCTACTAAGCTCAGGTGGGAGATCTGAGTCCAGGAGTTTCGAGGCTGCAGTGATTATAATTGTGCCGTTGAATCAGCCCTGTGACAGAGTGAGACCTGTCTCAAAAAGAAAAATAAATAATAAAGGGGAAAGGGGGGGAGGGCATTTATTGAGAACGTTAGATTTGCCCCCATAATATGGAAATTAAAAAGGAAAAAATAAAAAAGAAAAATAAACAAAGAAAACATAAGAAAAATCGATCAAGCCATGACAGAGAAACTTGTGATCCCAGAAATGGGACAGGATGAGTGCGTGGTGTAGCATTTCCACTACCGATTGACGCCCACCCCTCGGCTTCTGGCCTGCTGCAGCCGGAGAAGCCTGGAGTCTGAAGCAGACATGCCCGTACCTGAGTTTTTCTTTTAACCCCTTTGCACTCCCATTGCTTTTGTCTCCTTCCCTTTTACTTTCTACTGCGGGATGCTCCATTGTTTAAAGCACCCCTACGATTTCAAAGCGCGGGGCAGTAGAATAAAAAACGGAATTTCTTCTTTATACAAAACTTATTTATTTAGCTTTTTTTATATATAATTCAAATGATTGATACAGAGAGTAATGTAATCTCTATCATTTTTGCTAACCGTGTGGAGTCGCCGTCCGGACAGCCCAGGTGCAAAGGGACAAAGCACTAAAAATGATAACAACAGCAACTGTTTGTTGGTTTTGATTGGCAGCCGCCAGCCTGTGCACAGACCCGTCCAACACACGCAAGCCCTGCCTTCCGCCTCCGGCCTCCCGAGGTTGCTGGAGAGAAGATCCCGGGTGAAGGCGCTTTAACGATTCCTGCGCAGGGGAACCCTGTAATCGGCCTTGAGAGATCAGAAGAATACTTGATTTGGAAAGTGCAACCCTCACCATGGTGGAAAGCAGAGACCAGTTTGGGTGAGACACGTGACTACTCCAATTCCCAAATTGCAGCAAATTCTACGCAAATTCTTCCAGACTTCTAGCAAATCTAGCAAATTCTTGCGCCAATTCTTCTAGCAAATCCTTCCAAATTCTTCTAAGCAAATCGCTTTCAAATCCTTCTAGCAATTCCCTAGCAATTCCTTCCAAATTCTCCTACCAAATCCAGTTCAAATTCTTCCTAGCAAATCCTTTCCCAAATTCTTCTAGCAAATCTGCAACTTCTTCCAAAGTTCTTTAGCAATTACACATTCTTCCAGTCTTCCCCTAGCAAATCTACAAATTCTTCCAATCTCCTAGCAATTCTCCCAATCCTAGCAAATTCTTCCAAATCTTCTAGGCAAATTCTACAAAATTCTCAAATTCTTCTCAAGCAAATTCTAGCAATTTTCACAAATCTCTAGCAATTCTAGCAACATCTCTCCAAATTTCCTAAGCAAATTCTTTCCTCTAAGCCTCTTAAAGACGACCCCTCAAAACAAAAGAAGACGTCGAAGCGTGCCTCATTTTCCCAGGTATACTCTGCCCTCTGCAGAAGCGAGCCTTCCCACACGCCTGACGTGCATGTGAGAGAGAGCGTTAGGTCATAGAAGACCAGGCAGTGTCCAGAACAGTAACACCAACCTGGCTTCCCGTCCACCCTGGCCACCATGCTGTGTGTTTTGGGCAGGCACTTACCTCTCCTGAGTTCACTTAATTTGTAAAATAGGACTAATCATTAAGCATTCTTCTTTAAAAAAAAAAGTTTTCTTAACCTCCAATATGAGGTTCTTATTCTGAGTTGTATGTATTTGCGATTGTGGGTTTGGTTTTTTTCCCTGTGAAGTTCTAAAATAAGAACAGAAAATAGTATCTTGTTATCCTTTATCTGTGTGCATGACTAGGTTTAGAAGCAAACATTCCAGTACTGGCCTGGTTAAATTGGAAGAAAAAAAAAAAAAACCCGGATCACAAGGTTTCATTGAGTCATTTGCACTAATGATCATGTTGATGCAGTTCCTGGGTTGAGAAGATTCTAGAGACGGCGGACTCCCTGCGAGAGAATGCTGGCATTGATTTCATGATCATTGCCGAAGATATGGAGATTATAAGTATCTAAGTTTTTTTGTGTTTGTTGTTTTTTGAGACAGAGTCCACTCTGTCACCAGGCCTAGAGTGCGGCTGGTGTCAGCTCGTCCACGGGCAACCTCAACTCCAGGGCTCAACGCGATCCTCCTGCCTCAGCCCCTCCCCGAGTAGCTGGGACTACAGCATGCCACCGATGCCCCAGCTCATTTTTATATATCCATATTTTAGTTGGCCAACTTAAGTTTCTTCTATTTTAGTGAGACAGGGGTCTCGCTCCTTGTTAGGCCCTGTTTCGACTCCGACCTTGAGCGATCCTCCGCCCCCCGGCTCCCCTGAGTGCAGGGTTACAGACTGAGCCACCCTTGCTTGGCCGCTTGGTGGTCTATCTCTATAGAAATATTTTTAGTTGTGCCACATGAAGGACATCAAGGATTTCTTCTACCAGTACTGTTTACGCCATGTGGAGTTGCTTAACCTAGAAATATCTAATACTATGGAATACTCTGCACATTGAAAAAAA